CACACACACACACACACACACACCACACATAAACACACATACATACATGCACACACATTGACATAGACATACACACATGCTGTAGTTTTAATAAACAAGTATGAAATGGAAACATGAAAGCACATCCCAAATATTTCAATGAAAACAGTTACAGAAATGTTGGAAACATGTACAACTGAGAGGCAAATCAGACATTCAAATAATTGATGAGAAGAATTCTGTGAGATACCAAACACTGAACTTCAATATTCTTACTGAAAGCATTAAGACTTCTAGATAACCAATCAATCCAAATGGCTGGCTTGTGAAAATCAACAGATCACATTTCCTACAGATGGGGAGTTCAGAAACTAGAATTCCCCATCTTGATCTTAAGGCATAACTGGGATGTGAGGCAGGCAACAGCCTAGGGAATCCAAATTATGCAAGCTCGAATATATCAGTGAGACAGCTAGCCTGCTTCATGGGAGCTGAGGGGAAAAAAAGGAATGAAAGAGCAAGAGCCACAGAGACAGAAGTGTGGAACTTGAGAAGGCCACGAGGGCATAAATAACACTTAAATTACTTGACCAAACCCTGGCCAGCTGGCTCAATTGTTTGAAATGTTGCCCCAATATGCCAAGGTTGTGGGTTCAATCTCTGGTCATGGCACATACAAGAAACAACCAATGAATGCATAAGTGGGACAACAAAGTAATGTTACTCTACAAAGTAATGTTTCGCTCTCTCTAAAAAATCAATCAATATTTTTTTAAAAAAATTGCTTGCATATGACACTGCCTCTGATCATAATGCTCATTTCCCTCTGAAAGACCCTGCTCAGCTGGCGCAGAGCACCGCAGGGGCCCTTTTGTCACTGTCAGTGACACCTTCTCCCTGAGGGTCTCTCTCAGTCTTGCCATCATTTAGGCAATGCTACCAGGTTGGGGAGGCGAGCAGGCCCAGCCTACAGGACCAGCAGGGACATATTTCCTCTGTGAAGGCCTGGAAGGGTTCTTCCTCACAGCCCAGTCCCTGACCTGCGTGCCCCTGGGACAGCATTTACATGGACTTTCTGACACTGGGGGTGGGGCGGTGCTGGTGTGAGGGACAGGTTACCCCAGGAGTAAAGTGAGCCCTGTTAATGAGATGGAGCAGTATGAGAGACAGTGAGGAGACCCCAGGAAAGAGTCCTGGGAGCCTGGTGCTCAGGGGCTTCTCTGACAGGCTCACTCTGCCCCACTCCGGGGCAAGCTTAGCAGTGAAAGAAGGAACCTGGGGCAGGTGGACAAGCCTCATGGCAGCTGCAGCAGGACCAGCCACCCCCACCTCCCCACGCACAGCCACCTCCATCCCTCCCCAGGAGCCTCTCACACTCTTAGGCCATCTGGAACCACCTACTCTCTTCCACTCTAGGAAGACTACTTCTCTCTCCTTTGCTCTGTCACATCACACAACCTATTGGGCCGTCTTCAGCCTTTGTACTTGCTATTTTACCTCCATGACAATGGACCACGAGGGCATAGTCCTCGCTGCAATTGTCCTGTACCCAGAGCCCCCAGAGCACTCCATGTTCTGAAGGTGACACCAGTCCACACCTGACAAGTGGCCATGAGCCCAGTGCGCAGCTGCTCCTCCACCAAAGAGAGGCCCCAGCCGGGGCAGGTCTCACCTCCAAGTCCTCAGAGGAGCCCGGACACAGAATGGGGAGCACTCCCATTGCTTCCAGGAGAGACGCTGTCTTCCCTAGGCCACCATCCCAGAGCTGATGCATGGTTGGCTGGGTTTAATATTGTTCAATGAGGGAGGATTAAAGTGCTGGAGTTTCAATTCTCCAGAAATTGTTTTGGACTCAGCACCCAAGAAGCTGTAGAAATGTGTGACCCAGTTCTCTTGCCACCTCAGCTCAATGCCATCATCTTTTCATTGAAGTAGGAAGACTCTGCTAACCTAGTAGTATTTATAGCATAACATTAATTCCTTTAAAATTGCTTTATAGGAGATTAGATCAAACGGCAGAAGGGCAGAAATCAGAAGCCTGCTCCCTCCTAAGGACCTGGGCTATGCAATCACTTTGTCAGGTTTGGCTAACTTTGCCCTGTGTTTGGATTTCCAACAGGCCTCTGGCATTTCTGTAGAACAAACACAGTGCTACCACAAATCAGATTAAGTAAAATGCATTCAGATAACGTTTTTTGTAAAATCTGGCACCCTTCTAAAGAATGTCTGGAACGGAACAAGAAAGATTAAGCACTTTATTATTCACGCAGGTATGCCGAGCTCAGGTATTTCTGAATTTTAAACATGAAACAGATGGATAGAATCCACTTCCTCCACCGGAAGAGCAGCAGCAGGTCTGTGAGTGGCCCACAGAGGATCAGTCTGCTTCGTCAAGGGGATGCCAGATTTCTGGGGCTCAGTTATAATTGAAGCTATTAGTTCCATTAGCACATGGTGGGCTGACAGCATGCCAGGCCCAGACAGGCAGCCCACAGCTTTGTGGGATGCTTTAGATTCTCTTCCTCATTTATGTGATTCTTAAGACAGGCTGCTTCCAGGAAATGTGAGGCGCACACCCAGCCTGAGGGCCTTATAGGTGCAGGCGCAGGTGGCAGCTGGCCGGGCCCTTTCCAGCCCTGCCACGCAGCACCTTCCTGAATAAGGGTCCTGATTTGGGCTTCCATCCATGTCCAATCTTAATTTGGCAACTGCTCCTCAATTTCTCTAAGGAGCCACCATCTTGAAGTACTCTATGGTTGTTATCACATGAGAATAATCAGAAGAGGATGGAATTTGAAAGAAGCTGAAGTATCAGAATCCAGGTGAACTGTGTTCTGCAGGTCGGCCCAGTCCAGGGTCCACTTGCTCTCTTCTGAATTACCCATCTGTCCATGAAGGAAGATGGCACACTTCCCAGACCCCATTACTTGGGAGCAAAGCATAAATTGCTTCCTGTGCCTCGAGGAGTCTGTGCCCAGCCACAAGCATGGCCGGTATAAGCTGCTATAGGCCTGTGCATTTCCACTGCCAGGCCCAGCCCGGGGAGTCATCCGAGCTAAGCTGCTTTCCATGTGGGAGCAGCACTTTCATCTGAAGAGTCTTTCATTAAGAGGGGCCCTGGACTCAACTGCTCCTTCTGACATAGGGGAACTATCGTATTAACGGAGAGTAAGCCTTGAATGAAAGCAAAAACACTTGCTAAGTGTCTAACCGGTTGGGCCTCTCAAAACTGACCCAATGTTGGTTTTCATTAGCGACACACTTAGGAGGGCAAAGGTGGTGAATAATATCACTCACATGTTGGTTCCTATGAGCCTGATCCTGCCCAGCAATAAGCCACAATGAATGAAGCCAGCCCTGTTTCACTAACTGTAGAGAGGGAACTGGGGCAAAGAACCAGAAACGTTGACAGAGAAATTATGGCTCTTCCTTTTCTAAGTCTGTCTCCTGTTCTTTCTCAGCATTTCGGAGGCCGAGGGGATCTTGTTTTCCAGGAAAGATGTCCTTGTGAGAGGGTGGGACCACCCCCACCTCTGCCAGCTAAAAGGCCCAGCAAGTCTCCTCACAAGGCTGCAGGTTGAAGGATCAAGACCCAAGTGACTTTCAAACATAGACACAAAGTGCAGAGCAATCACTTCACTTCACTCCTAGCAAGCCTATTAATATCTGGGGATTTGAGCTTTGAGAGCTCAGCAGGAGCAGTTATGACTGAGGTCTCCTCCATACCAGCTGCACAGGAACTACTTTCCTTTGGACTGGACGAGAGGTTGTGATCAGACCTGAGCATCGGGGAGGCCCTGAAGAATCTGGTGTGTGCATCTCTGTGGGATTCCTGAACTCCCACCATCCACAGGGAGCTGGGTGGTGGGTGTGCCTTCAGGGGCTCCTAGGCTGATGGACTGAGCAGTCATCCCAGCTTAGGTATGTGGTTCCTAAAGAGCAGAGAGGCTGCTCTCCCTGTAAATACACAATCCAGGGTTAAGGTCTCATCCAAGCCCTAGTTAGCACACTCTATTCAATAGACTGATTTCACATGGAAAGGTTTGAAAAGATTTACAGAATGTGTCAAGATGAGAGAATGAGCATAAACCTTTCATACAACAAGGCCGATAAAGAGAGTGGGTCCCTGTTGCGGACCTAGGCCCACACTCCATGGAGCCATTAGGTGGGCGGTGGCCCCTGAACACGGGGGCTGTCTCACTGGCTGAAGAAAGGTAGAACTCTCACCAACAAGTTTCTTCTATAGATTACATGTTAAAATGATACTATATTTGGATATGGAGTTTAAGAGATTATACTATTAAAATGAATTTGTTTTAATTTTATTTTAAAATTATTTCAACCTTTTTAAAAAGGTGGCTACTAGAAGATTTCACATTAGATATGTGTCTTGAAATGGCTTTATTGGACAGCATTGATTTAGAAACCTGGAGTGTAATCCTGATTGATCTAGTGTCTGGATGGGTGGCAACTGAGGCAAGCTCATTGGAATCAGATTTATTTTGTGAAAATAAGCCTACTTCCTTCACAGTTAAAAGAAGATCTAGCAATGTCTCTCATAGCAACTCAGGCTGGCATCCTGCTCCCACTTCTCCTCAGAAAGTGGGCCTGAACGGTGCTTCTGAGCAGTGGCGCCTGCTCAGGGCTGACACAGGGAGGGCATGGCCCCCACTCCTGTGACACAAAAGCAGGTTTGTGTGTTATAATATCCTGGTGCATGACAAAGAGAGTGTTATTCTAACAAAATTAGGATAGCACAATGATTTTCCAATAAATGATGAACACATCTTGAAGCGAAGACACATTTTTATGATTTGCATAAAAATGGTAGTTGGGCTTGGGCAGTGGGACCTGTGGCCTGCCTAGAATCCACTGTGGCAACCAGCCACTTGCTGGTCTGGCTTCCCTGTCTGCCATGTACCTGGTGCCCACCTTCAAGTCTTAATTGTACAAAATGTCTTTGGTGTCTCGTGCCAAAGAGTTACAATAACTAGCTCACCCAGGATGGGCTGGCTGCTTACCTTTTCAGTTTTCTTCTCGTCTGGTTTGCATCTCACATTGGTGGGGCTGGATGTAGACAGGCCACTGACGGTCCCCACTCCAGCCTCCCTGTTGAGGTTGGCAGCAGTGACATTGGGAGGTGTGACGGCCGATGCCGCTGACGTGAGTGGGATGGCTGGCCAGGGGCACTGGGCGCCACCGATGGTTTGCACTGGGGGCTGGTAGAGGTGCTGCAGGGACACCGTGGAGTGGGGCCTGCGGCTGGCAGTGGGCAGGTGGGACGGGGAATTCTGGGTGCACAGGGGCGACACCATGGTGGTTGGTTGGTCCTGAGCCTGAGCAGAGGAGTGGGCAGCTGGAGCACAGATGGGAGAGACAGAGGGTAGACAGTTTAGTTTGAAATCTGCCATGCAATTGCAATGGACTCTTTCCTGAGACAATTTACCCAGTCTCTGTACTACTAGCACAACACAGGGAAAGCCTGAGGCCCAGAACCCTAAGAATGCACTCAGACTAACCTGCCCTCAGGACTGGGGACACCACCTCCTGCCTTGCCACCAGTTTCCTACTGAGTCTTGGACCAGCCTTCTCCGCTGCGATGGGCTAATGCACTCACCCTTGTTAGACTGTGTCCATAAAGTAAGGCCTCAAGGAGAGCTCTGAAGAAGCCTGCCTGTGAGGGGCCTGTGTCAGCAGTTCCCAACCGCAGTATTCAGTGCTTTGTTTCTGACACTTGGTACTTGGCCTGGTTGAGCTGTGTTCGTCACAGAACAAAGCAGCTTGTATGTTTCTCCTCACTGCCAAAGTCCAGGGAGCATGCGACCCCCATTCCCTGCCTGCAAACTGCAGCCTCAGTTTCCCGATTCACACAACAGGAGCCTCGTGGCCAGGAAACTACCCTTGCCTAAAGATGCTAGGACTCTAGCCCAGCTGTCATGGCTCAGAGGTTGAATGTTAACCTATGAACCAGGAAGTTATGGTGTGATTATGGTCAGGGTACGTGCCCAGGGCTTGATCTCCAGTAGGGGGCATGCAGGAGGCAGCCGATCAATATTTCTCACTCATCATTGATGTTTCTATCTCTCCCTCTCCCTTCCTCTCTGAAATCAATTAAAAAAAGTCTTTTAAAAAGATGCTAAGACTCTAAAAGAAAAATAGAGTTCTTTCCAAATATAGTGCCATGTTAAAATGAATCCTATTACAGCTTGTGTTAGTAATTTTGAAGAACTGTCTCCTTACTAATTACAGAAACAAACAGGGGACAGAATGGGCCACACCATAGGGACAGAGTTCTAGGCCTAAAAAGAGATCCATGGGTGGCAGCAGACATCACTTCACACTCAGTGCCCCTCTGATGCTGCACTGCCCACTTCCAGTGTGTTGGCCTTGTTAACCAGAGAAGAGGGATGCCACACTGCCACAATGCTTCAGGGCCAGACTTTGTGGCATGCGTGTCCTCAGCAACATGGAAATTTTACACGCAATGAAGCCATGTTTGCAGGCCCCACCTTGGACAAAGCAAACACTGAGACACCTGCCCGGCTCCACAAACAACCCTTCCTCTGACAGTGTGCTGGGAGCCCATCTTCTCTTCCAGGAGGTGAGACTGAGGAAGTCTTATTTATGATTTTAAAAAACTACTCAGAATTTGGGATGGCTTTGGATCCTTCCTCAACGTGGCTTCTCATTTCAAACAGAAGACCAGGTTAGGCACTGATGCAGATCCATGAAGCCACTGGGGTCACTTAATCCCCCCTGACATAATCAGTCATTTATCTGCCCCTCCCCTGCTGCCATTTATCAGCAGCGTGTAATGGGAGATGACAGCTCAGCCAGGGAAGGGCAACAGCACTTGGATCCTGAAAACCCTGCAGAGGGGCTTATGGTTCTTCTGTTGAGAGCTGGCACAGCTTGCCTCCACCTCTGGCTAGCTTCCACCTGACTGCACATCTCCTTACTAACACACTACAAAATAAGAGATGGTATCAGCAGATAAATTCCTCTGTATGGCTTTCCAAAGTGGCGAATTTCTTTCTTCAACTGAATTCAGTCTAGAGTTAATGTCACGATGGAGTTTTGTAACTAAATATATTTTCTCTTTCCAAAATTTTAAGTTGGTTCTTTTTCATATTGAACAGTTACTGATTCATGGATATAGGCTTCTCTTTTTTCTTTACTACCTTGTCTTTCTTTTTTAGAGGGTGGATGCTATTTCTATTTCCTTTTAGAGGATCTTAAATATACTGACATCAGTGACTTTTTTTTAGATTTCTCTTTTATTTCCCTCCCATTTCTTAAGAGTACTGGCTATCCTTTATGTACTAGCTGTCTCAGCCCAGAGATGTTAGTTCATCTGAGCCGGGGTGTCTTAATGTTGCTGTTTCTGCCCTGGATTACTTCTCTGGGTCTGCAGTCCTGTTGCTCTTCTACATGGACCTCTGGGGCCTCTTCTCAGAACCAGGAGTAACAGGATCGCTTGAACTCTGGTGGTCCAGGGATGGTGAAGGCTCAGTCCTCAGGCCAGAGCCACACTCAGCTCTCTGCTCTCCACGCCTTCCGCAGTGCTCAGTGCTGCACATGCCCCAGGAGGGGCTGGGTCTGCTCCCTGATACTTGCCAGGAGCTCCTGCCCATATGCTCTTGGGGAGTTGAAAGTCAGCCCACACCACCTGCTTTCCACCTGGAGCCTGTAGGCCAGCACTGCGTTTACAAACATAGAGTTGACTTTTAAAAAGTTTTAAAAACAAACACGCAAACTCTCCATGTTTAGAACAGAGAGACCAGGGAAGTTCTACATAAACTCATTCTTCCATACTGTCCAGGGGTCATGCTGTCACTTCTCATTCCACCGAAATATGGTGTCTTACTCCATCATTCCATCAACTATTATCTGGACAAGACCAATTGTGGCTCCATCTATTTTCAGAAAAAGAATCCATTGATCTAGTTGTTTGATTTTACAACAATATCACACTGACTTAATTACTGTAGTATAATAATATTTTGAAATCAGTTTTAGCCTTCTAAATTTGTTGCTCTTTTCAAGGCTGTCTTTTACTCTGTCTTTGCATGCTTATATGAATTTGAGATGTAAGACTGTCAATTTCTATTAAAAAGTTGGGTGGGGTTTTGATTGGTGTTCGATTGAATCTATAGGTCAGTTTTGTGAGAATAAACACTTTAATATATTAAGTCTTCTCACTCATGAATATTCATATATCTCCCTACTTATTTAGGTATCCTTCAATTTCTCTCATCAATACTTTGCAGTTTTCAGTCTATAGTTCTTCCTCATCTTTGATCACATTTGCCCCTAAGTATATTATATTTTTGATGCTATAAAATTGGCATTGTTATTTTTTAAATGTCAGTTTCAATTCACTACTAATATGTAAAAATACAATTTATTTTTGTGAATTAATCTTGGGTCCTGCACCTTGCTGAACTCATTTGTTAGCTAAAAAAATAAATAAATAAAAAAGCTGTGTGTGTGTGTGTGTGTGTGTGTGTGTGTGTGTGTGTTCCTTAGGGTTCTCTCTGTATTATAATGTACTCTGCAAACTGAGATAGTCTAGCTCTCTCCTTGTCAATCTGTATGCCATTTACTTTTTTCTTACTACTAACCTCTCAGGTTAGAACTTATAACACAATATTGAGTAGAAATGTCCAGAAATGTCTCGATCCTGCTCTCAGTCTTTCACAGCAAGTTAAATGTTAGTTGTGGGCTTTCATAGATGCCCTTTATCAAGTTGAAGAAGTTTGCTTCTGTTTTCTCATTTTATGAGAGTTTTTATAAGGAATGGATGATAAATTTTGAAAAAATTCCCCCCACCACACACACACACACACACACACACACACACACACACACACCTATTCAACTGACCATGTTTTCTTTTTCAGTTTGTTAATACAGTGAATTACATTAATTAAACATTAATGAAACCTGGGATAAACCCTACTTGGTCATGATGTATTATTATCTTTTTGTTTATTGCTGTATTTTATTTGTTAAAATTGTTTAGAATTTGTTTATGAGTAATATTGGCCTATAGTTTTATTTTAATATCTTTGTCTGCTTTTAGTATGAGGGTAATGCTAGCCTTATAGAAAGAGTTTGGAAATGTTTTTCTTTTTCTTCAATTTTTTGGAAGAGTTTCCAAAGAATTATTAAAATTTCTTTCTTGGCCATTAGGTATATTTCACCAATGAAGCCACTTAGGCCTGGAGCTTTCTTTATGGAAGGTTTTTAATTCAATTTCTATAATAAGTATTGGCTTATCAAGTTATTAACTTCTTTTATTAATTTGTGTATTTAAGGAATTTATTTATCTAATTTATTGATTTTATTGGCAGAAATATATTTTTATTTGTTCTTTTGATTCTAGTTTCTTTTTTTCTTTTAAAAAAAAATATATTTTATTGATTTTTCACAGAGAGGAAGAGAGAGGGATAGAGAGTTAGAAACATCAATGAGAGAGAATCATCGATCAGCTGCCTCTTGCACACCCCCTACTGGGGATGTGCCCGCAACCAAGGTACATGCCCTCGACCGGAATTGAACCCTGGACCTTTCAGTCCACAGGCCGACGCTCTATCCACTGAGCCAAACCGGTCCCAGAGGATTCTAGTTTCTTAAAGTGAAACTGAGGTAATTGGTTTAAGATTTTTTTCTTCTTTTTCTAATATAGGTTTTTAGTGATATAAATTTCCAAATTGATATGCTGTGTTTTTATTTTCATTCACTTCAAAATGCTCTCTACTACTACTTTGGTTTCCTTTTGATCCCTGGGAATTTTGAAGTATGCCATTTAGTTTTCAAATATTTGGAGATATCTTTGTGTTATTAATTTCTAATTAAACTTTATTATAGTCAGAAAATATAGTTTGAGTGACTTTAAATTTTTTAAATTTGAGATTTAAATATTATGGCCCTAAATATGGTCTATCTGGTAATGTGTGTACCCAAAGAAGTATGTATTTTGCTGTTTGGTGGAGTATTCCGTAAATGTCAATTTAGTCACTTTGGTAATAGTGTTCTAATGTTCTATGTTCTTATCAATAATACCTTTGTATCCATTATTGAAAGAAGTAGTGCAACCTCTGACTGTAATTGAGGTTTATCTGTTTATATCTCCTTACAGCTCTATCAGTAATTACTTACTAGTACTAGTATTTATTTGAGGCTCTGTTATTTGAAGCACAAATATTTAGTCCCTTTGATGAATCAACTCTTTTACCACTGTAAAATTGACTTTTTCTTAGTTATAACATTTTATGTTCTGAATTCTACTCAGTCTGATAGTATTATAATATAACCAAACCACATTTCTTTTGATTAGATTCAGCGTGGTAGTCAATCCTCATTATTCACAGATTCTGTATTTCCAAATTCACCTACTATTTAAAATTGATTTGCAACCTCTGGTGCCTTTGCAGTCATTCTCAGACATGCGCAGATTAGCAAATAATACAAGTCACCCATGCACCTGTTTCCAGCAGAGGTGTGCCAAGATGATGCTCTTCCTTCTCATTTCGGTTCATACAGAAATGCCCAGGGACAGAGAGATAGGAGGGGCAAGGGCAGCACAACACAAGAAGCTCCAGCTCTGGAGGAGGTTGGATGGGTTGAATCTTGATCCTGTCATCTATTAGTGAGGTGGCCTCAGGCAAGTCACTTAACACTTCCAAACCACATTTTCTCTTTTGTAAGATGAATAAAATAGAATATTTAAGATTAAAAATCTGCCAAAACTGGTTTGGCTCAGTGGATAGAGTGTCAGCCTGCGGATTGAAAGGTCCCGGGTTTGATTCTGGTCAAAGGTATGTACGTTGGTTGCGGGCACATCCCCAGTAGGAGGTGTGCAGGAGGCAGCTGATCGATGTTTCTCTCTCATCGGTGTTTCTAGCTCTCTATCCCTCTCCTTTCCTCTCTGTAAAAAAATCAATAAAAAATATATATTTTTAAAAAAGATTAAAAATCTATGTGAGCTACACACACATATTTCACTAAGGTGCAATAGTTCAGTATTCACTCAGTATTCATGGAAACTTTATAGACTATAACTACTATGAATAATGGCAACTGACTATATTGTTCTCTCCTTTTACTTTCCATTACTTGTATTTTTATATTTAAAGTATTAAAATCTATTTCCTGTTCACTGCATTTGGTTGGGCCTTGTCATTAAAAAAAATAATAACTGAAAATCTATGCATTCTATTTGGGTTTATTTAGACCGCATCTATTTAATGAAGTTATTTATATGACTAGAAACCTGGTGCACAAAATTCATGCATGGGTTGGGGCGTGTGCGTGTTCCTCAGCTCAGCCTGCACCAACTCCAATCTGGGATCCCTTGAGGGATGTCAGACCGGGATCGGGCCTAAACTAACAGTTGGACATCACTCTCACAATCCAAGACTGCTGGCTCCCAACTGCTCACCTGCCTGCCTGCCTGATTGTCCCTAACTGCTTCTGCATGCCAGCCTGATCAACCCTTAACCACTCCCCTGCCAGATTGATCAATGCCTAACTGCTCCCCAGCCAACCCAATTGTCCCTAACTGCCCTCTCTTGCCAGTTTGGTCACCCCTAACTGACCTCCCCTGCAGGCCTGGTCTCCCCCAACTGCCCTCCTTTGCTGGCCTTGTCACCCCTAACTGCCCTCCCCTGCTGGCCTGATCACCCCTAACTTCCCTCCCCTTCAAACCTGGTCCCCCCCCAACTGCCCTCCCCTGCAGGCCTGGGTCCCCACCAACTGCCCTCCCTTGTTGTCCTGATCTCCCCCAACTGCCCTCCAGGCCTTGGGCTGCCCATACTACCTCTGCTCCCTTCTGTGCCTGCTGATATTCACTGCAGTGTCAACCCTCAGGCTTCAAGTCTTGTGGCGAGTCCCCACTGCCTTCAATAGAGAATTCAACCCCAAGATCCAGTGGTAACTTTTATATTTACTTCTTTACTTTCATGCATCGAGTACTCCAATAATATTCTCTAACAGAACAGTAAAACAGCTGCAGTGTACTCCGTGCATACTGTATATGCCATGTCGATGCCTTCACAGTGTGTGCGGAGGTAAGTGCCGTCTTTCAGCAGAAGATACTGGCACCACGGCAGCCCCAGCATTCAAAATAGGTCTGCTGACTCCCAAGTCACCGCTTCAGCCAGGCCTCTGTCAGCTCCGTCTTCACTGAATTTCTTGCTGCTGGTTGAAGAAGACTGCTTTCTCCCACTTCTATTTGATGTAACTTTCCTCCTGCTCCAAATGGCACCCTTCTCTGTTCCCACCTGAGTGTTACTCTGCTGCTCATTCTGGGATAGACTCTTCAGAGAAGTCTTTCCCACTCTCCCTGCCCCATCGCAGGTGCCCCCGACAGAGCCTCCTCACAGAGACAGAGCCCGCCTGGCCACACTAACACTGTTCCCTGGCCGCCAGCCTGCACACCCAGACCAGCTTTGTCAGTGGACGCGCTGACTGTAGCTGGTCCATATCACATTTAGGGGTTCCTCCTGCCGTCTGTGAGCCCAGCTTGGCATCAGCATGGTCCTGGGCGTAACAGGGTGGAGTGGTGAGGGGACATTTACCTCCCACCCTCTTGTCCCATCAGCCATGCCTCAGGGGAAAATATGGCTCATCTGGGCTGTATTATTTCAGCTTCTCATCCTCAGGAGGCTGCTTTATGAAACACTCCAATGACCTTCTCCTGGTTAAGTAGATCCTAAAAAAGTAATGTTCCAAAGAGTCCACATGCTTTGTCCTTTAGGCTTTACTTTGAGAAGAACGGGGTGATTTCTGAGAGAATAAGGTTGGAGTGGGAAAGGGAATTCTGTGTCATATAAATGAAATGCAGAGGCACATCCTCCTGCTCTGGGCTCTGGCCACTGCAGTGTGACAATGCTGCCGGCTCTGTGGCTCCTGAGGGTGACAGTGAAGGCTCCTGGGAGTGTCATGGGAGTCACGCTCCGGCCGACTTCTTAGCTAAGTACTAAGCTTCCAAACAAGCCATGCTTGCCTTCTTCATGCTTATGAGATCCACCCATATTTCTCTTCACTTCACACCAGAATGGAGCAAACCAGTTTTTCCTTAAATTTAGTCAGCCTGTCTATTGATAATGCTGGCATGAAGATGAAGGGTCTGCCCGCCCCTCCTGGCTCAGAGCATCTCAGACAGGGAACACTGTCTGTGTCTCAACCAGCCTGTGTGGGAGTGCTGCCCAGCTGCAAACCCTCCATTGCCCGGCACATGGAAGGCCTGAGACTAAGAGGCAGCCTACAGCCTCACAGCCTCACGGGCAGAGTCCCAAAGCACCTGTTAATCTTATTAGTGCACTCAGTCCTCCTGCTGAAGCCAAATATATAAATTGCTCATCAGTTTCAGTTTTCAGGACAGAGTAATCATATCTCCTGGAGATCAGCAGCAGTAATGATTACAAGCCATTCCCTCTGTGAACTGATTGAGACCTGGGCCAAACTGTTTCTACGATTTGAGTACTTGAGACCCCAACCCCTTAACAAATTTTCCAGATAGTGAGGTCCCCGAAAGACTAGTACATACCTGTGGGGACAGTGCTCTGAGCCTGGCTAGCCGCTGGGGATGCTGAGTGCCACAGACAACTGCCCACCGGGAGAGAAGCTGCCTGGTGCTGGGCCTGGGGTGTGGTGAGGGGGAGGGCTGCTCTCAGGGCAGTGGCAGGGCTGCTCAGACTCCCACTGCGTGGATGGATGCTTGTGGCCATCCCTTTGGCCAGTGGAGACCCTCCAACCACATTATTTCCAGGTGGCCCAGCCCCTCCTAAGGGAGCCCTGAGAAAATAAAGAGAATGAATTCAGTGACAGTGCGGACAAAACCACCCCACCTGGGCCATTGATAAAGACCTGCTCTTACACACTGGCCTTTCTGAGATGAAAGCCAAGCAGGACAGGAGAGTACCCTAAAACAAAGCCAAGATAACCCTGCAGGCAAACAATGCCCAGAGCTTCAGCTGAGAGGGCACCCTCTGTAAATCTTCATGGGTGCTAACCCTCAGCATGAATATTCAAGAAATAGCAAAAGAACCCTGAAAAATAGAGGCCTTATTCCAATCAATAAAATATTTTGTACCAGACCTACTGTTTTGACTCATTCTAACAAACAGCTGTGTGCCCCCAAACACCCCCAGAAAGAGCGATGGCTCAGTCACATGAGGCTTGGACACATCTGGACCTGGTGGGAAACAGTGGCAGGACCTACTCCCTCTGGACACAGCCACTGCCTTGCTCTGCCGGCTCTGGGAAGGGCACCAATAGACTATGTCCCGCTGAGAGATGTCAGGGAACTTGAAGCTTCTTACCAAAAAATAGATGCCCTTTCACCCCATGATTTCCCGATGAAACCAGGGTAGAGTGTTTAAGAAAAACAAATGGAAAACAGCAACTTGGGAGATGGGCTGTTCACACTTGCACATTTGTGCTGTGGGGTAGGCTTTGTAAGGTGTTTAGCTTGAGGGGACTGGAATGTCTTCCATTTGTCCAAGAGCTCAGTAAACTCCCCTTTGTCCTCTTGGGATCTCAGTCATGAGACACCAGAAGCCACACCAGGAGAGAACAGGCTCTGCCAGGCGTGGCTCCGGGCCAGGTCAGAGGCCCCTCTCCATTGGGTCTGACTTCAATAGTCATTGAGGCAGGCGGCTGCAGAGCAGCTGTGGAAATAGCCTCCCAGGGAAGGACCCACCTTTCCAGGGGTTGGGCAGCACCTTCCCTCACTAGCCCACAGAGCTGCCTTGAGATTCACTTCCAGCATGAACCCGTCAGCTGGCCAGCCAAAACCATGACATTTAAAAATCGCATCTGCTACTTACTGAACTCACTTTTTCCCTCGGAAATTTTTTAAAATTAAATAAAGTAGGCTTGCAAGTTATGGGCCTTCCTAGGAATGACAAGAGGCACGAGCCTGCCTCCGGGCTGGCACTGCCCCTCGGGCACTTGGAAGTATGGATATCTAGCACCAAGGCAACGTGTAAGCACTGTTTGATTTTCCCCACAGCAGTCATGTTTCAAAGAGGGCCACGTCTCCAGTTTTCTGTGTGCTCTGGATGTTGACACAGCTCTGAATCCGTAAAGGGCTTCCCTGAGCGAGATGGACTGAAGATCAAGCAGTGCTCTCATCTCAATGGGAAATTCTCAGACAACTATGGATAACATTTTCATTGAATTTTTAAAATTGCTGCTTTAAAAAAAATAATATAACAGGCATTTTGTAAGACAGGAAAGCACAAGGAAGAAAAACTTTCCTCTATAATGCTGCCAGTTAATAACAATTGTTGACTTTGGGCAGTACATAACTTTGCACATATGCATGTGTGTGTGTTTCATGTAGAACAGGTCTATGTGATTGCACATGTGCTGCTGTACTCTCACTGTGCACAGTCCCCCCACCTTGCCTCACACCCACACCCACACCCACGCCCACACCTGTGAGATCTCGCTCTCCTCGGTGACTCTGCCCCCACTTACTGCTACTGCCCTGACTGGAGCTCATTCTGCTCCCACCTTCTCCCTAGGCAGCCAGTGTCTGCTCCAGGAAACACAAGCAAACCTAATTCAGAAGATGAAATGCTTGCTACTTAGAACCCTTGTTCAAGGGGACTCGGAGCTCACACGGCTGAACCCCACAGGCAGGGGCTTCCTGGCTGCCTTCTGAACTGTTTTTGGGTGGCCCAGTGGTGACAGCTGTAGGGAAATGGGAGGGGGATCCTCCCTCCTCTCCCAGGCAGCGGCTACAACCTCACCTGGAAGCAGGAGTCACATAGTTTCCTGGGAACACCCCAGAGAGCCCAGACCTCAGGGATGTGCCTTTGAACCAGCCGTCCTGACACTTCTCCAGGACGTAGTACATCTCGCCCTTGCGCAGCTCCAGCTCGTCACTCTTCTGGGGCTTGTAGGTGTAGAGCGCCAGGTACCTGCAGGCAGAAGCAGGGCCAGGGTCAGCAGTGGCAGGCAGGATGGGCACAGGGCCACTGTGTCCCCTGAGTCACATGTGAGCTCTTCTGTGGGTGAACCCAACCAACCTAAGAGTAGCTGATGCCTCTGAGGATTGGCACACCCAGCATGTGACCTGCTTTACCCAGGAAAGCAATGAGGGGCTGGGGAGGGGCATTCCCAGCACTGCCAGGTTCAGGGAGGCACTGCCAGGGAAGGGGCAGAGTTCTGCCCGTGATCCTAGAGTCCATGGTCGCGCCCAGCCCTGTGCCTACCCAAGCGAGTGTGCAGCCAGGAACACCTCCTGCCTGCCAGCTCAGGGAGGCTCTTTGAGCCGTGAGAGGCCCTGGGGTGTTAGAAGCAGATCTGGGGCGACGTTGTAGTCCCTCACCCCCCCGTTTTTGTTTGCTTATTTACTATTTTCTACATTGTCTATAACTTGATGCTCTGGGCAAGAGAAACCTTAGGAAACACAGGGAGCATGAGAACAAGCTGGAATGGGCTTTCCTCATTTAGTCTCCGGCCCGGCCTCGAGGCCCTGGGGAGAGAATTCTTGGTTGCATTCTTCCTTATAATACTTGTACCACAACTAATTACTTAAATCTCTCTCTCACACACACACACACACACACACACACACACACACACCAAAAAAAAAAAAAAAAAAAAAAAAGCTTATTTGAAGACAAGGAAAGAACAAACTTAGTGGTGGAAATTCCCACTTAGGACCCAGAAAGTGGGCCTCTAAGCTGCCAAGAGTCACGGCAAACCCCTTCTGTAACATAACTAGTGACCTGACCCCAGTCTCCCAGGGTACTGTGAGGACTGGGAAATGCTGCAAGTGCTTTGCTGCTTGGGGTTCGAAGAATGGTTAGTGTGAGCTGACAGAACTGTGAGGCAGTTCCCTGCAGGACACAGATTCACAGGACGTTGCCCCTCCAAAGGCTGCCTGAAGTCCACAGGGCTCTCTGTGGTTGGGGAAGCTGAGGTGCCATCTGGGCTCCAGATTCCCCTGAGGATCAGCTGGGCTTCCCCAACCACAGCTCAGTGCTTGCTCCCTCACAGGCCTGACTCCCAGCGGTAGTCCTCCCCCAATGCAGGGCAGTCCTCCATGTGCAGCAGAAAACCCGACTACAGGCCCCAAGGCTGGCTTTCTGTCAGTCGGCCCTGCTGGCACCTTCACAAGTGTCCACACTCTGCCCACCAGGCTCCCATTCTGTTCAGGGTGGCTTTCGGCCCTTCTCTTGTGCGTTCTTCTCCATTCCTCCAGGCCAGGGCCAGTTCTGCTCTCTCTCTGAAGGTGATCAGTATGACAGGGTGCAGAAGGGCAGGTTCCGTGCTGCTGCAGGAGCTTCCCACAAGGCCGAGTGCTGTCAGAGGCTGGGGTGTGGCCTCACCCCCCTGGTGCCTCACCACAGCCTCAGCAGGGACTTACGTTACTGGGTCTTAATGTACTGAGCTCAGACTGGTCAAGCCCACTGCAGCCCAAGGTGCAGAGCCAGCCCTGTGTTACGGATCAGGGTAGAAGCAATCCCGTCCCATGGGAGGTATGGTTCCCGACATCACAGAACATGGGGGCTGTGTAAATATTAGAAGACAGCTTGGCCAACCTCTTCCTGTCTCCACAGGTCCTTCACTCCCCTCACCTGGCTCTGAGAAACCCACGGAGAAGTGGAGGTAGGATTCACTCCCAGTCCAAGCAGTGTCCTATTTACCAGGGCTGTGTGGCTTCCAGGACCAGACATTTATGCCCCAGGAAGGCCTGCAAAACAGGCAGATGAAGAGCAGACAAGCCTGGGCCAGGGAGTGAACTTTGGGTGGCCACCCAGTACAAGGCAGTGAGAAGGGAGGCTGTGGGCTCCTGCAGGCCTGACTGTGTGTCATGGGAGAGATGAGCAGCCACCTCCTGCACTGGGTGAGCAAACTGAGATCTGCCTTTGTGTTTCAAGACAACCAAAGCCTTAGGGAATCAGTGCCCATTGGGATTTTTATATGCTAGCAGTGGGTAAGAATACCCTTTGACCATTGGTTGACCTGAGCGATCAGGCCTTTCTATTATGTGGGCTCACATTTCAGAGCATGTGACTTGACCTGCAGAAGGTAAACCCCACACGGATGAGGATGGCTGGAGTCATTCTGTCACAGACCTTCTGATAGCCTGGCTGGCGCGTGTCACAGACCCCTGGCTCACAGCAGCACGATCGCTGCTACCCTTGTCTCTCTGCAGGTGGCCCTCTCAGACCACCTTTGAACATGACTACTGCTATTGTTTTGGAAAGGACAGACAGACAGAGAGCAACCACATTCCCACCCTGCATGCCTACCACCGGGATACATGAACTGCTAACTTCTTAAAGCTAAAAAGAATATATGAGTGATCAGGTTAATCTGACAAATTGATGAGGTCATTGAATTGTTTTCTCCCTAATAATAAAATAAAAACTAATTTCAAAAGTCATGTTCTCAAAGTTGATTGTGCATAGCACTGTAATGTATGATATTACTTGCTATGGTGCTTGGGATTCGGTACAAAAAGCCATGCGAAGCACACAATGAATTAGACTCAAGCATTGCTGGCCATGGTTCCTCTGCTACTCAGATGACCACTGTGACTAGCAGACACATCTCCGCCAAAATGCTTATCATTCTTTCAAGGACAGGATTTTATATGGAAGTCTTCTTTCTGTTACCCAAATGAAAATCAACCCAAACACGGACAGCTGTGCTTTGGGAGGAGATAGAGGAGAGAGCAGAGCGATGGGGTCCTCAATGGCAGATGGGGTGGGAAAAGAGATCTTTCCATCTCCACACAAAATTAAAAAGTCTGCATGGTATGAGAGGTCTGTGCATAGTGGACCCTTCAAAATGTACCCACAACACCTGAGAGTGACCTTCTTGGAACTGTGCTACCTTTTGGGTCTCAAAGACAGAGCAGCCTTCTTGGGTGGCTCATCTGATGCAGAGTTGGGGACTTTGGGCCAACACCGGGAGTCCTCTGCACCCAGGAGGGGTGAGGCTGTGGCTCTCATGGAACAAGGAAACACCTGTTGAAAGCCTGTGTACTGGGCATTCATTGTGAGACCCAAAAGTGGAACACCTGGGCCTTGACCTGGAAGAGTTCACAGTGTCCTGCCTCTCATTTGGGGAAGACCACTAGGGCCCAAGGCTCTCCTGTGGATGGAAATCTGTTTTCTCAGGGAAAGGAAATCCAGTGCTAGAAGAACAACCATCACCACCATCCTTCCCACAGGCCTCCTCGGCCCAGCTCTGAGTGGAAGCCATTGGAGCTTACAGGAGAACCAGTCAAGAAGACAGCACCTTCTGTCCAGTGTTGGTGAAAACGTGAGTTTCAGCCTAAAGACATCTAGAAGGTAGTGTACTAATCTAGCTCCACTCAGGAAGCTAGGTTACATGCATGTAAGCCTCAATTTCCTTTTGTTTACCTGAATGACAATAACCTACTCACAGCATTTGTGGACAAATAAAGGGAGGACGTTCACGATTTCCTACCTGTCTCCAGGGAAGGCAAATATTTCCTCTAGACGTAGGGAAGCATGAAGCAGGGCATTTAAGCTACTTCTAAGGAACCTTCTGGAGCTTGGCAAGTTGCTTTTTCAAGAGGCATTTTGCTTGAAATACATTCTGTTCTGCACCAACACATATTCCATGTGTCCTTCTCACTGCATAGTATCTGTGAAACTTTCCCTTCCCCAATTATTGACCAAATTCTTATTCTCCACCGTAGAATATTCATTCAGGTAACTGGCTCATTGCAAACAAAAGAACAGAAGGCAGTCTAATTCTTTAGAACACAATTTAAGTGGGGAATTTTATACTGCATGTATCTTTTAAGAAATGTAATTTAATAAGAGTAGGTTCTAAGAAAGGCAAGCATGTCACTTCCAGCAGCGGCTCATCAGGGTGTATTTGGCTGTGACACAGAGCTGCTGTGCATGGGCATGGCAGTTACTGCTACTAAGATGCTGAGCTACTCTGAGCAGTTAGTAATTAGCCACCATGAAGACTCCATGACCCCCCACTGCACCAGCATCCTCCCACTCTGGCTTACAGCCCACATCTTCTCAGGGGCCTATAAGGTGTTCTCTTTGCTTTGGTTGATCCTCTCCTGATTGGCCAGTACCTGTATGATCAAATATTTTGATTATGCCCTCTGCTGATAATAAATGTTCTAGGGACAATAACATTTTAAAACCTGCTAGAGTTTTATGCTCTTTCCTGTCAGCAGTATTATTATTAGATGTACATAATTAAACTGACCAACTAGTGGGCAGCCAGTGTGGCTTAGTGGTTGAGTGTTGACCCATGAACCAGGAGGTCACAGTTTGATTCCTGGTCAGGGTACATGCCTGGGTTGTAGGCTCGATCCCCAGTAAAGGGCATGCAGGAGGCAGCTGATGAATATTTCTCTCTCACTGATATTTCTATCTCTCTACCTCCACCTCTCTCTAAAATCAATTAAAATATTTTTTAAATAAAATAACCAACTAGTAACAAATGAGATCCCTATAGAAACCATACATTTCCATGCTAGCAGGGTGAGATGGAGATGCTGAAGGCATGGGACCCCAAAACACAAACAGCAGCTCACACATTGAGAGGCAGCTGCCCTTTGGGAGCCATGTCCTGCTGTTCAGCCGCTGGGCTGGATCCGGAAGAGGAGTCCTGTAAACAGATAAGAAGAGAGTGAGCTGACAGGTGGCTCTGCCCAGGGAAGAGAAAGACAACGTCGCACGGCGTCGTGAAGCATCTGTCCTCTCCTTGGGGTCTACTTGCCTGGGTTGTTAATGACTAACTGGAAAGAGCTTGGTGCCCAATGACGGGCCCACAGCAGCTTTCCAGAATCCTTCTGGAGCAGCTGCTCAGAACCCCTCTCTGTGGCTGCATCTGGGTCCATCACCAACACTCTATGCTGAATATAGACGAAGGCAATTTTGGGAAGCTCATCTTTATTCTTAGAGATTGAATGAATTATTCTTGTGTTTGTAAAAAGAACATCCAGATAAAACCTTTCATGTTATAAAGCCTGGGCTCATTGAAAAATTTCATTCCCAGAAGCTGAAGATTAATCTCTACAGAAAGCTGGTCCTTTGGCTGTGGGGACAGAGGGCAGGCTATAGGGCAACAGGACTGACAGAGCCTAGCATCTCCCACCTCAGCCCTGAGGGACTCAAAGCTTCAGGATTTATGGTGCAAGGAGATGACTGGAGGGACTTCTGCTTCTGATGGTTCCCACAATCAGGTGCGTGTTAAGCTGGTTGAGGGAAGTGGGCTGTGCAGACATATCTGGGCTGTGCATAATCTCGCTGAGATGATTCCTGCACAGAGATCCTTAGACCCAGCCCATGAGAGACAACATTGTCTCCCATCTCCTCACTACCCAACTCAGTCATCCTTAGGGCAGCTCCTTGTCTTCCTGTTCAGGTGCCACAATGAACTAAATTGTGTCCCCCAAAAGATATGTCCAAGTTATAGCTCTTGGTGGTTGTGAAGGTGGCCTTATTGGAATAAAGGTTTTTGTAGATATGGATAAGGATCCTAAAATGAGATTACCCTCGATTAGAGTGGGCCCTAAATCCAATAACAAGTGCCCTCATGCCGAAGCCTGTTTGGCTCAGTGGTAGAGCGTCGGTCTGCAGACTGAAAGGTCCTGGGTTTGATTCCGGTCAGGGGCATGTACATTGGCTGCGGGCACATCCCCTGTGGGGGATGCGCAGGAGGCGGCTGGTCGATGTTTCTCTCTAATCGACATTTCTGGCTTTCTATCTCTCTCCCTTCCTCTCTGTGAAAAATCAATAAAATATATTTAAAACAAACAAAAAAACAAACAAGTGTCCTCATGAGAGAGAGAGAAAAGGAGAACAGAGAGAGGGAGGAAAGCCATTTGAAGAATGAGGCAGAGTCTGGAGAGATGCATATATAAGCTCAGAACACCAAGGATTGCTGGAAGCCACCAGACGCTGGGAGAGAGGTCTGGGATGGATTCTCCCTCAGCCTCCAGAAGCAGCCAGTCCTGTCTACCAATACCTTGGTTTTGGACTTCTGGCTTCCAGAACTGTTGCTTTAAGCCACACAGTTTGTGGTACTTTTACAGCTGCCCGAGGGAACTAATAGAACTCAATTCACTAACCAGTTCTGCCCTTGCTTAGCTAATGTGCTAAGGCAACCTTACATGTGCTAAGGCAACCTTACAATCCATCCTGGGGGGCAGACTTCCCTCCTAGACCAGGAATCATGAAAGGTGCCAGAAACCACAGCATGTCCACCACCTCTAAGAAGTTAGAAATTCTATATCTTTATTCCAAGAAGTTAGAAATTCTATTTCTTCTTGTTTAAACAACAAAATGCCTGCTGGAATGAGAGCATGCAACACAGAAGCATACTTCCCTCATTTCTCTAAGACACTGTGAAGTTTCAAAGGACATCCCGCTCCAGCACCTGTGAGAGACTGCTTCTAGAGGCAGCCCCTCCCCAACCATCCTTGTGGCTGATGCAAGACACTGCTTCCTGGGGTGCTGTGTGAGAATGGGCTAAAGGTGGGGGACACTCCTCTGCTGAGCCTAGGGGGGGTGGGCAGACCAGAAGGCATTCACCATCAAAGCTTGGAAATGTTTTCCTTCAAGATGCTGGAGGAGTTCACCACAGCTGGCCAGGGACCTTCTCCACGGGCTGCAGGCTGGGGTGGGCATCTGGTTCCAGGCCCTTACCTCCCCTAGGGTATGGAAAGCATCTCTGGTGCTGGTTTCCCCACAGCTGTCCCTTCTTGGATGGTCCCTGGAGAAAGGTGTTGGCAGGATGTCAGGGCACTTCACTCACTCACTCAGACACAGGCAGGTGGCTCCATGCTGGAGGTGACACTACGGCCTGGGAGCACCCCGTGTGCCACTCGCAGGCTGAGCAAAGTCATACCTGGTCAGTGAGCTGATGAGAAATGTTCCCTTCCCCCTCAGCTCTGCACATAAGCAAGAAAGTAGTGTGACAGTCAGTTGAGTTGTAGGGTTGTTCTGCCTACATGAGGTATGATCTAGGTCCTCATTGATGTCTGCTGACCACTGATTGTCAGGACTGGCTTGGGCACAGACACAGCCTCTATGCCCATTGTGGGCTTGCATGGGGGATGACAAGCATTGGGCATGTCATTATAGACATGGGAATCCCAGTAGTGCAAGGCCACAGGAATATACAACTGGGACCTCACCTGAGGGAGGGCTTCTGTGAACAGGGAGTGGGCTTGTTAGGTGAGGTGGTGAGGGTCAAATGGTGAAGGAAGAGCAGAGTAGTCTGTTTAGCAAGGGCTGGCAAAAGCAAGCTCAAGGAAAAGTGAGTGGTGAGGAAACGTGCCCAGAGACAGTCTATGTGAGGCCTTCTGAGAGGGTTCCGGTCTTCCCCTTGAGGGCAGAGATGCCCTGGAAGGCTGGCAGGAGAAAGACAGAGTTGAAATCAGACCCATGATTCACAGGGGCGGGGGGGGGAGACCTCAGGAAGCATGAGGAAGGTCAGGTCTGGGTCAAGGGCATGGGGATGGAAAAGGTCTGGCATGTATAGGAGGTATTGGGTAAGAACAATTACAGCAAAAATAATAAAGACCACTCTCCATCCAGAGTTCACCAGCATTTCTTCTGTAATAATGCATTTAATATTCAAATAAGCCTATAAAGTGGGGTTTTTAAAATCAGCATTTTATAAAATGAGGATCTGAGGCACAGAGAAGTTAGGTGAATGGTTCACATTCATACAGCCATGGCACCCTTCTCCTGTCTGCCAGGATGGCAGAAACCTGTGGATGTGGTTCCTGCCTTGTCATAGCAGCAAAAGAAACACAGTTGACACTGAACACCATGAAAAAAAAGCCTGGCACATAGGGTCTTTAGGGAGACTCAGCTGAGCCACTTCCCTAGGCCTCGCACATCAGCCTGGCTGGGAGTGCATGGCCCACCCAACAACTGCCACCCCTGTACTCCAGAAGAAAACTTGCTGGAACCCACAACCCAGTTCTCACAAAACCTTTGCCCCTTGTCGCCAGGAAGCATTGGGTGTGCTGCACAGGAGCAGACAGGGCTGGTCTGAGTTCTTGGTGAGCCTTGTCATCTCACAGGAGTCAAAATCCCCCATCCCCCTGGGCACAGAGGAGCCTGGGTGCTCTAGCGCTGCTGGCCTGGTGCCCACCTCCATGATGCCAGCCTGGCACGTGGAGGCCTATTTGCTGAGGAAGGCCATCTGTGTCTGACAGAAAGCCAGCCAAAAGGCTCTACACTATGGGAGGCAATGAAGAATCTGGATTTCCCAGATGCGTGACCACAGAGCCCACTTCTGACCCCCACGTGCAGAACTCCGGAACTAGGTCCCTCTCCCAGAGCAAATCCAGCCTGCGGGGGGAGGAGGACCCATGAGGCGGTAGCCACAGCAGGACCTGTTGTTCGACACGCCCTAGCAGTCCTGGGTATGTCCCTAAGTCGGCTAGTGTGATGCACAAGACCAACAAAGCGACCCAGAACCAGAAAGGCAGCGTGGGAGCAGTGGCAGAACCAGGGGCTAGTCTTTGGGGCAGCCCGACCACGGACAGCACGCTGGGGCCATGGGAAATAGCACAGGGCAGTTCATCCTAATTCCCAGCCACTAAATTAGGATCAGTGAACCTGCTTTTCTTGACCTCTTGCCCTTTGTAATGACCTTCATTAAAATCCAGAGCCTGGCTATAACTTTCACCTCAAGTCAAAAGGACGTGAAATGGGTCTCAGGGTCCCAGTCATCTCTAAAATAGAGCATTTAACTCTAGTGGAACAAAGTGGGAACAGATTTTTAAAATCTGTTTCCTTCTGCTCTGGGAGTTGTCTAAGTAGAGCCAGACTGCAGAGCTAGACTACAGAGCCATTGGACCACTAGCACCCATGGGCCTGCTTGCTCATTTTTAGAACCCCCAGGAAACATTGAGAGTGGTGAGCTATGGACCAGTAATCCTGGAAGCCCTGTCTGGTTAATTGAAAATAAGGACCCCCTTCCCTTATTCTCCCCCTGCCCCTTTATCTTGCTCGTGGAAGTAGAGCCAATGCCATGCCTAGAAATAGAAGGCATCTGTAAGAGTCTATAATAGTAAAAGGGTAATATGCTAATTAGACCAGATGTTATCCCAGACATCATTTCGATGTGCTTCTGGATGAAAACGGGGCCAAAGGGAAGCCCAGGTCCCAGGTGCCAGACGGCAGCTGGTGCTGGCAGGCAGGGGAAGGAAGGCCTACTCTTGCACGATTTTCGTGCATCAGGCCTCTAGTAATGATATAAGTATGATACTAAGCAAAGTGCTCAATCTTGTTCTGAGATCTGGCCCTTCCACACTTTGTTGAAAGAGAAAGGAGTTGGCCAGTGTTAAAGAGATGCTAAAAACACCCAAAACTAAACCAAGACATCATCCACAATACCATCAGATCTACTGAATGCAAACTGAGCAGGATAATGTTATTCAGAGGCTATGTATCATAAACCATGAAGAGCACCTCACTGAAAGCTGAGAGTGCCAGTCACATATCTGTCCTGGTGGTGACAGGGAGACACACCCACCATGGTTAGAGGTCCTGAGAACAGGCAGCGAGAAAGGTGCTGCCTTGACCTCCTCCAAGCTAGTTCAGGGGACGGATGCTGAGCACTGATCTGAGGATGGAGCCCCCAGTCCCAGAAAGGGTGCCCAGTGCCTCCCCGTCCACTCCCTGAGGATGTTACCTGGGCGGGAGCACTGCAGGACATATGCACCAAGTCCCGGATCCTGGCTGTGGCCCGGGGGTCGCTGGAGCTGATCAGCACTGGAGCACTGATTTCCACGGAATGCCTGTGGCTGGCAGCCTGCGAGGACCTGTGTGTCAGGCTGACTGTGGTAAAGGAGTGACGTTTCTTAGCATTCTTCTTGCCGTCCACACGCTGCTGAAAGGTACTGACTGCCCCTGTGCTGCTTAAAGTGGCACCTGGGGCCACACTGGCCACTGCGCAGGGGTCAGAGGGTATCGAGGCATGGCAGTCAGACACAACAGCTGGGCTGAACTTGTCCATTGCAATAAGCTGCTTGGCCGAGTCGTTGAGCTAAGTGAGAGAGGAAAGGGGCTTCATTAAATAAGGATCACAGGCCACATCCAGCTTTCCGAGCTTACCCAGCCTGTACTCACAGTTAGAAATGAACACTGTGTTCAGACTGATCAGATCTTTCTAACAGGGCATCAGGTACGAGAGGTGCAGCCAAACACACAGTGAAGGTTGGAGTGCCATCTAAGGAGTTTATTGAAAAGGGTCTACCACATCTGCCCCAATGGAGCCCCCTGTTCCTGGACTGCCCATTTCTCAGGGATCAGAGAGAGAGAGAGAGAGAGAGAGAGAAGGCAGCAAGGAACACCTAGCCATTATCCGCCAGTCACCATGGCAACAGGTTGTAGGCCTGCCTTGCAAATCTGGTCACCCTGGTAAGAGATTTCAAGGCATGTGACCAGAAGGCACTTTTTAGCCAGTGGTGGCTGCAGGTGGCAGGAAAGTGTGGCTGGTGAACAGGAGCCTGATACCGAGTTGACCTGACCTGGTTCATGAGGGGTTAAAACTGCATTCTTTCCAGCAACTCTGCAAGGGCGAAGGGCGCAACTCCTTTCTTGATTTCCCACCCATGGGGTCTTTACAGGGAGAGTTTGATCCTGGTGGAGCTTATCAAAGAAGTTAGGAAGGATTCCAGTCCCTGATAGCCTGCGTACCTGAGCCCCAGGGCTCCAGGCTCCATGGTCAAGCAATGCCTGAGTCTGGAGGGGCCCTGGGAGAGGAGTGCTCTCTCCTGTTGGGGTCCAGTGGGGCCTTGGTTAATGAAGGGTTAGTTCATCATCTAGGAGCCAGAGTGTGCCACTGGCTCTTGCACCTGCAGCAAGCTTTTCATCCGAGGCTACCACGGAGCCGCTTCTCCAGAGGCCGCACTGGGCCCCATCTCTGTTCATGCTAGAGGGAGAACTTGCAGCGACTGCAGGACTGAAGCAAAGGTGGCCGTTCCATGGGCTCAGAGTAGCCAGGAAGGATATGTGCTGTGAGAATGAGCTGGGCCCATCTGCACAGATAGTTAAATAAATCATGCTAGATAAACATCTGTGGAATTCTATTCTTTCTCCCTCCTCTTTTCAGAAGTAGCTGAAGAAACAGTCAATGCCAGCTAGCCCCTGAGACCTGCCCTGGGAAGCACAAAGGTAAACAGGAGGGAACTTGAGCCACTGGTCTGTTTTCTCCTCCCCAGACAGAAAGGGTGTGGGTTGGGAGCCTTGGTGGAGCAGGCCTGGTACCACTGGTCTGCAGAGTCTGGAATGATGCATGGGGTTCAGACAGGAGCAGTCTGGGATGAAGCACAGGGTTTGGGTAGGAGCAGGGAGAGCAAAAATGCGGCAAGAAAATCCCCAAAGGCAGGAGGTCCTTGCAGGCAGGTCCTTGCAGAAGTCCTGTCGGCTTCACCCTGTGCAGAAGCCATGCCCATGTCCTCAGCTGAAGGGAAATGTGGGCTGGAGCCTGGTGGGCTAGGCCAGAAAGGGCCATGCCCCACGCAGTGGAGTCTGGCCTCAGGAGGCCTGGGTTGGGAGATTCCCTCACCGGGAGCCATGAAGGCTCCCACTCAGGGTCACTACTAGAGTAAGGAGGCAGCTGTTAACATCTTGATTAAGTTAAAATGTTTTAAGAAGACAAAGCTCCATTGAATTGCAGCAGTGGGAGCTCTGACGCTTTCCCTCCGCAAGGCCAGGCAGATGCTATACACATCACTGACCTGGAGGCCGTTGGGCCATCAGCATTTTCATTACAAGCACCCATTTTTCAGAAGGAGGGTATGAAAATATCACTCCAGGCCCCCAAACGGATGATCTAAATCCAGGATTGTTTACTTTGAAATGTTTTCTCCAACAAACTCAGCTGCTTTGCTCTATTTTATGTCTTTCATTTGCTTGCTCTCTCAGTCCTAGCTTGAAGAACACCACAGCCCCTGTCCCCCACAGCCCTGTGGGCTCTCCAAAGGGGGCTCCGGACCATGGTCTGCACTTGCACTGCAGGGCCAAGCACAAAACAGAAAAAGCACAATGGAAAGCACAATGCCCCTCATTATGGGCATCAGAATATGGTAATAACACTTCCTGTGTGTCTCCACTTGGAAGGTTATTATACAGAATTAATAACAGAATTCCATTCTTCCCCAAACAATGGCCTGGATTGTCTCACTGAGTTCACTATTCCTCTGTTGAATCAGTATTAGAAATTTCGATTTCAAGACCAGGAAATCCAGGCACCTACAGGTCAGGTGTGTGCACTTCCAGCCCACACGAGGCCACAGGGAGCTGAGCATAGTGCCAGGAGCGCTGAACTGCCACCACTGGCACTGCTGGCCGCTGCTGAGCCAGTCCTCAACCACATTGCCCTCTCCTTCTCCACGGAGAACCAGGGTGCAGGAGCATGGCGCCTTTCTCATTCACCCCGAAACAATCCAAAGCTCTTGATCGGCGCCGAAAGTGAGGGCCAATACACTTATAGTGCTTTCAACAAATTATAGGAAAAGTAAGAACTTCTGCTTTCAGGTGTTGAATTCTCCACATTTCCTCAGCAGCTCTTAGCGGTGAGAGAACATCCAAGGAAAGGCCTACTGAAGAGGAACTGTTCAATTTTGCCTTTAGTAAATTGTTGTTGGTGGCAAGTAGCTTCTTATTGGAGATAGGTAGATGATAGATAGATAAAATAGGTGATAGACAATAGGTAGATAGATAGATAGAAGATAGATAAACAATAGACAGATGGTAGAAAATTACTCAGAAACTGACCACCATGCCTGGAGCCCCTGGCTTGCTACTAGTAGACATGATAGGTGCAGTGGGAGAACTTCAGCTCTGGGCCTTGCTCCTGGAGATAAGCTCACTGTCCAGCGCAGCTGGACAACAAGCTCCATGAACCATGTGACATGGTGCTCAGGGATGGGCCTGGCAGCTGTCCCAGTTGGAAGGCCTCTCTCTGGGTGCACATATCCACAGCACATAGGCCCACCATTGCAGGACACTTGCAGCTACCACAACCTGCCACCAGTGGCTCTTACATCAGACTGTTCAGAGCAGCCATAACATCCCATTCCCTCCCTCTCCAACTGAAGAAACCAGATGGCTCTGCTCTGTGCTGTGTAGGCACTGTGGCTCAGTTTACCAAGGCCTGGGGGCCCAGTAGAGCCAGGAGATAATGAACAAACATGGGAGATTTCTCCTTCTTTCCCCCACAACCAGAATGCTAGAATGTGCTGTAAGTGGCTGTTGACTGGGAAGCAGTAGGGTGTGGTGATGTGGACAAGTGCTTCCTGCCTTAGGGTGCTCCCCTCTCTCAGCCAAGATGCTCACCTGGGAATGAATGAGCTCCGCTCTATGTCCACAAGTGGGGTCACCTGATTTGTATCTCAAGTGGGTACCTGCAACCCCCACAGACAGCACACTCAGACAGACTGTGCTTTGTCACTACACACATAACACATCAACGATCAACTAACGCATCCAATAACTCTAATTTTGATTGTTCTTTATGGAAATAGAAGATATTTAAATATATATATTATTGATTTTTTACAGAGAGGAAGGGAGAGTGGTAGAGAGTTAGAAACATCGATGAGAGAGAAAAACATCTATCTGGGGATGTGCCCGCAACCAAGGTTCATGCCCTTGATCGGAATCGAACCTGGGACCCTTCAGTCCTCAGGCCAACGATCTATCCACTGAGCCAAGTGGTTAGAGCTAGAAGACATTTTCAACTGCCATATGAAATGGAAACAGAGTGGCAGCCCCAATGTTTAAAAGTCTTGATGAGCTTGTACATTTATCTAGGACCATCATTGGCACCTAGAAAGAAGGGATCTCTCTCCCCCTCCCCCTCAACAGGGTCTCGTCCCTCATGCTCTGTGGGTCCCTCTGCAGAGCCAGTGCTCAATCTACACACTCCCAGGAGCACATCAGATGGCAGGTCAGCTCACCTTCGCACTGCCCTTCACCGGGGTCCTGTCTGGGCAATAGGACAGTGATGGTCAGTCAAGGTGGCTCCCCCGTCAGGGACTCTGTGTCCTGCCTCTATGGTTAGCAACTGTGGATGAAAAGGGGCCACATGCTAACCTGACTAGCTCAGGAGAGGCCTGTGTGGTGGCTTTTCAAACTCAGAGACCTAAAGTAAGCACAAAGGAGGTATGAAATGAAAGCTTTTAACATAAAAGCTTTCATTTCAGATAGTCATGTTCTAAGCTAGAATCTTCCCTGACAAAGGTCAATCTTTACCTTAATTGAGTCTGTCTATTGTCTTTTACATCTAAGATAACATATTTTTGGAATGTCAAGGTAACTCCCTTTTTCTGGACCCCTCAGACCACAACCAATGCACCTGGACAAAGATCCTAAATTCCTCCATTGCTATTTTTATCATGTTTATTATTGACTATTACCTACCCTGTACCCACCTATTAAAAGAAGTATGTGTCTTACCATTTTACTTTTTATCCAATCCCAGAGATTCCCTCCCTCCCCACACCCCTGCTTTGCTTTCTCCTGCCTCCTTAACCAATCACCAATGGATTTCATGTACCCCACATACACCTCCTCTTTTAATTGTAATGTGCAGGACTACCAATAAGGTGCAGGACTACCAATCTCTGGAGCATTATCTCAGCCCATTGAGATTTTGCTTCTTGGCAGTTGTCGGCAGTTTGGCTCAAATAAACACTCAAAGTTCTCTATAGGCTTGAATGTTTCTTCTGTTAACAGGACCTTCCTTTCAAGATTTTGTCTCACTAACTTTATTAATTCAGCTGTGATACTTCTCCACAACCACTCTTTTTCTCCAACCTTGGAAACATCTAGAAAAATTGGGAGGACTGTGGAGTTCCTTCCTGCCATTGTTTAACTAGTTCTACAAGTGGCCTGTTACAATTGCCTGTATTAACCCAGCTGTGCCTGAACCCAGCTGCGCCTGAACTTGGAGACCAGGTGGACTAAGGAAGGCTCTCCACAGCAACGTAGAGGAGCCATGAGCCCCCAGGGGACCCGAGGCCAGCATGGATTTGGGTA